AGTCATCCAGCGAAATTGTTAGACTCACCTAGATTGTTTTCGATAATAAGTTTATTCATTAGACGACGTGTGTAACGCCATTCTTGAGGAGTAATGATCCAAAAGCATCCAGAATAAAACATGCAGTATGGTAATTAATTCCAGGATGCTTGGTGAAACTGACGTTTTCGTCACTCTCTTGAATCAAAACAATTGAATGAATCCAGATAATTGTGTGGTTGTCATTAAACGAGCCATCTAAAATGACCTTATGATTGCAGTAAACTTATAGCCAAAACTCACCGTGTTTTTGTAGTATTGTCATCCTTGATGTTTGGCAATTGAACTCGAGAATATAAAATTAGGCAGGCAGCAGTCGGAAGAAAAGATATTTCAAAATAGTGCATAGTTTAAAACAGAATGTTTTAAGTGAAGGAGCACTAAGAATTAGATCCAGATAACTATTTAGTCCTTGATTGCATGGTTAGTCTATGTATATTGAGGTTATTTACAGATCATATTTGCTAGAGCTTGATGTTAAAACAAGTTCATTTCGCTGAAGCATGTAAATGCTACTGAAGCTTCTTAACGAACCATATAAGCTAGTTAATTAATATAGATGACCAGTTTTTATTATCGATTGAGCTATTAAGCTATGAGAAATAATCACTGTAACATTACGATAATACATGTGAGCATTAACTAGAGGATTAATAGAGAGTGAGTTAACATGAATCAAAATCGATCGAGATAGTTAACGTGAAAATGAAGAATAATAATAGTTTGCGTTTCTTTATTCAGGCTCACCAATGTAGTATTATGGTCTACTTAATTTGTAGATTTGTCATGATGTAACTGCCTAATCTATAAAATCTTACGTGGAACTCACATCATCGTCTACACCAACTCACTGTGTCGTAACAATCAACAATACATGATGGAGAACAAGCTTAGGCCAGAGATAGAACAATATATTAAATATGGATAAAAGATATGAGGTAACATTCAACATGGACCACGCCTGCATGGCCGAGCCATGCCATCCGATCAATTCGAATTAATTCAATTCCCTATCCCCGCCTTCTCAATTCTTCTGTATTTCTCCGCGTTAAATGGTGTATGTTTATTTCCTATATTGTCTCGTGGTAGGGTCCACTGCCACTACATATACACGGTGAATAACAATGAGCTACCTGTTGTCTAGGAACACAATG